ATTGTTTTGTACAAGAAAAGGCAGAGGATGAAAAAAATGGTGTTTTTGAATTGGATGATCGAATTCAGGTTGGGAGTTGTCAGGATGGTTATAGCCAAATTAGTTGAAAAATTATGCATTGAAATTCTTAAAGGTAAGAGAATCTAAGAAATGAAGAAGGAAGTGTAGAGGAAGGTGATGAATCTATGTATGGATACCATTTGAAATGATGAGAGTAGAATGCCTCGTGCAATAACCACTATGAACTTTTTCAGTATTGAAGAATCTAGTTCTTCTCTTATTATTAGTTGAATTTGCACTCCTTTGAAATTTTGTTAAATGAGATTATTTCTCTATTAAATATTATAAACCTAGTTGATTTGATTTTGCGACGATTTATGTAAGATTATTTTTGTTTTATAAAACAAGAATCATAGATATTAAACGTGACAGAAAACAAGGATATTTATTGCTACTTGAAATTTTTCCATTCTTTATAGATAGATAGTTAGCATGTCCATTCGGCATTTATTAAGAATTGGCATGGTCTGATTTCTAGCATGCATGAGTAGGACATAAGGTCAGCATTTTGATTTTGATTCTGATTTTGATTCCTACCTGTAGCTTGCATATATAGACAAAGTAGATATTTTGTGAATGTGGTTATGAGTACAATAGAAATTCTTTCAATAAATTAATAAGAATAAAATTACAAAAATTAACTAACAACTCCTAACTTAGTGTCAAGCGTGGTTCAAAAAAAAAAAAAAAAAAAAAAAACTTAATGTCAAGCGCTAAGCTCCATTTGAGTTTATTTAAAGATTTTTTTAAAAAAAAAAAAAATCAAACTGAGTTGTTGCCTTATTAATAACTTAAAATAATTATAAACTCTAAAATAACCTAGGTCAAATAAAGTCTAATAATGACAAATGGAAGGGTTTTAAGTACAAAATTAATGTACTGTAAATGTATTTTTAAATTAAAAAATGATAAATATTCAAAATTTCCCATCAAGATTGAATTAGTGAGAAGCTATTTAGGAAGAAATTATAAGCAAAAACAGGATTGAACCCTGTTAGGATCAAGCGCCCGGCCTCCACCCATCAATCCCCTTCTCAGCATCAACTAGTCTTAAATGTTATTATTGGGACTCAATCCCCCTCTCAACACCAGCTAGACTTAAATGTTATTGTTGAAACTTATACATGTGTCCTGACTCTGATACCATTGTTAGGATCAAGCACTTACCACTACGTCAAAAGCTATATCTTGTAACGAATGTATTGGACTTGGGCCTTTACCGACCTCCATCTAACAATCTTGCTAGCCACATGATGCTGGACTTGGCCCTTACTGACCTCCGCCCATCAAGCCCTAGCAGCCACAGTGTGGGAGTCACCCTTTGTTGAGATTAACAAGAATAATGGCAAAAAAATAAAATAAAAAAGGTAAGACTTACATGGTCCGGCAATGTGTCTATTTACATCCACGGGAGTTAAATAATTATTTTATTAATTGTGATGGTGATGCTGATGGTGATACAACACCGAAGGATACAATCAATGTATTTATAGGCATCTATCCCTATACAATGGCTCGACCCAATTTGCTTCACTCATATTCCTTATATGGGACAAACTCATATTATTTATATGAGACAAATTCATATTGGTGAATATACCCTTTAAGAGAAAATACTTATCTCACAATCTCCACCTTTGCGAATATAATATATGTGCTTTAGGAGAAAAGACTTATCTTACATATAAATATTGGTCAGAACAAACATGCTTATCCCAACTTGGCAGCCATATGCACTACGCACCATCTACCGTTCCCCCCAGTGCATGTTCACGAACTACTTCATCCCAAGTCGTTTGCCCTCAACCGTCAACTTGTTATACCGTTCACGACTCATGCTCATCCCAATTGAACAATCACATGTACCACGCAACATCAAACGTTTCCAACTGCTTCATCCTAGGCCGTTCACCCTCAGCCGTCGACCTACCATATTGGTTGCGACTCATGCTGATAGGGTTATAGGGCAACCCAATTGCCCTACAGAACTCACTAGTGTATTTTTCGACCTCACTAGTGCATTTCTCGACCTTGAGAGTACATGCCTACCTCCCGGTCTCCAAGCACCCCTTAACGTGTACAATCTCTAAGGACACTGGGCAAGCATAACCTCACCACCGAATCCACCTAGGACATGTAGAGGGCATGCCGAGCACCCGGCATATGTCTCCTTTTCCCCAGGACACTAGGCAAGCATAACATCACCACCGAATCCACCTAGGACATGTGGAGGGCATGCCGAGCACCCGACATTTGTCCCCTTTTCCCCTCTATATATAGGACATTTATTGTACCTTTTGGGACCAATCATATGGTTAGGCCTTTGTTTTTTTTTTTTTTCTTTTTGAAAGCTACTGACTCTATTACATTGTAGTATCTGTTCATCTATACTTTCTGAACCTGTTGAAGCACAAAGAGTCAACATCGCCTCCACTGAGGCTCGTTCTCATGACCTCTCATATGGGAGAGTCATTACATGCCATCTGGGTACAAGGTGCTTGGTAGTTAGGCCTTTACTTAAATTCTCTACCATATTATTTCACCTATACTTGGATTCCCAGTCACTTTCACCCGACCTGAAATAATTTAATCTATCACATGCTAATCCCAATTGGCTAGCCACATGCACCACGCACCATTTAGTGTTACCCCAGTGCATGCTCACGAACTACTTAGACCTACCATATCGCCCGTGACTCAAGCTAGGTCCTCTCCCCACCCAACACCCGTGCTGCCCATCGCTACAGCACCCTTCAAATACTCATCTAGCATCTGAAAACACCCAACAAGTCCAAACAATGTTCAATCTTGTCACTAGTAATTGCTATAACATTACCTTCACTATAATATGAGTCATCATCATATACCATGTTCGGAGCCTCTTATTATTTTTTTCAACTTTGGATAGTCTATTTTCATGTGCCCAATCTCCTTACACTTGTTGCATCGAATTTTCTTGCTATTTCTGGTTTAGAACTAGAGTTTCTCTTCATAGAATTATCCTTCTCTTGATTCCTTCCACGATCCTGTTGACTCTCCCTTGCTTACAAACTATCACCAACAATGCGCTCTCTTGCATTCTGCCTACTTTCATTATGAGCCAACAGGGTTGCAGAGACCTCATTGAATTTAATTGTGATTTTCTCGTATGTAAGAGTAGAACCAGATGTTCAAAGGAAAGAAACAGTGAACATAATAAGATCATCACATTGTCTTCATCTTCAATCTTGATATCAAGCCTGGTCAGATATGAGATTATTTCATTGAAGACATTAATATGATGCACCAAGTTTGAACCCTCTTACATCTTAAGCTAGCCCATAAAATTTTTGCTATAGATACAATGTGTTCGTTAAAGATTTTTCCATGAATTGAATTTTCAATTTATCCCAAATTTATTTTAGAGTTTCCAGGGCCATAACGTGATACACGATTTAATTTGTGAGGCATAACCAAATGGTTCCCGACGTACTTTCCTTCAAATCCTCTCAATCAGCCTCTGATAGATAAGCTAGTTTGTCTACCTTTAAGGTTTTCAAAGGCCCTATTGTGCCAACAAATCCTTTACCCTAAACTTTCATAACATGAAATTCTATATACCATCAAACTTTGATAACTCGAATTTTGCACTTGAACTGGTCATCTCATCAAAGCTCTGATACCAATTTGTTGGGATTACACGCTTACCACTACGCTAAAAGCTATAGCTCGTTGTGAAGGTGCAACTATATTTCCTTATAGACTACCATCACATTTTCGAGGCGTTGGGTGTTGGACTTGGCCTATACCGATCCCCGCCCAACAATCCCAAACCACCGGGTGCTAGACTTGGCCTTTACCGGCCTCCACCCAACAATTCCTCCTCCCAACACCAACCAGTCTTAAATGTTATTGTTGGACCTCGAAATTGTTATTTGGCTCTAATACCAATTTATTGAGATTAACAACAACAAGAAATAATAATAATAATGGCAGAATGTAAAGAAGACAATATTTACGTGGTTTGGCAATGTGTCTACGTCCACAGGAGTTAAACTAATCTTTTATTAATTGTGTTAAACTAATTTTTTATTAATTGTGATGGTGATACTAGTGGTGATACAACTAACACAAGGATACAACTAATGTATTTATAGGCATCTATCTATATATCATGGGTTTGACCTAATCTACTCCACTCTTATTCTTTATATATAAGACAAACTCATTTCTTATATGAGACAAATTTCTATTCCTTTCAAGTTTAAGTATTTTATTAATACACTTATAAATAATTCTGTTATGATTCATTTTTATTACATTCGACCTATCTCACGAATTGAGACCCGTGAGACGATCTTACATGAGACAGTCGTTATATTATAGACCGCGGTGCATGTGCACCGCGGTAAAAAACGGCGCCGTTTCTTTAAGTAAAGAAACGGCCCGCCGTTAGAGTTAACGGAGTCCGCTTGTTTGGTGTATTAAACACCAACTGACACTATAGTATATTTAAACCGACACTGCAGTTATATCAAAATGATACTGTAATTATAGTGAAATGAAACTACAGTGTATATAAAATGAAACTGAATAACATTTCACATATTTGAGTGTATATTGTACAATGAAGCTGTAACTATATCAAAATGATCATGTAGTTGTGTTTTAATGAAACTATAGTGTATATAAAATAAAATTAAATAACATTTTCACATATTTGAGTCTATAAATATCGAATGAAACTATAGTTATATCGAAATGAAACTGTAGTTGTGTTGAACTGAAACTGCAGTGTATACAAAATGACACTGAATAACAGAGTTACTTTTTGCAAAAGGGTGCGAAACGGCGGAAACAAACACTGTTTATTTTCATTTAAAAAAAAAAAAAGACGCGCGGTGCATAATATAATTTGCCTACATGAGACTTGCCCTTTCTATATATATTATTCTAACTTGTTCCCGAATCTCATAGCTTAGTTAGTTGCACACCACTGCATACTTACAAAATTATCCTTGATAATTGTTCAAGCAAAGACCAATGGAGAAGATATCATCAACCCTCTGCGGTTTTCACTTGGCTAAACCCCCTGATGTTGAAAAACCACATCACGGTACGGTAATTATCCTTAACTCCCATCCGATCCACTCTTCCACACACTTTCACGATGGAGGATTACTTATAATATAATAATAATGCTCCCCTGAAATTTAATTTTCATCAGATAACAAAGAAGCAGACGAAGAAAAAATACACAAAGCTCTGTTTGATGCTACCATAAAGGGCAACTGGACAAGAGCTGAAAAAATTCTGAAAGAACATCCAGAGTGCGCTACTCATCCTATCACGATAAGAAACGAAACAGTTGTTCACATTGCAGCAGCCGGAAAAAACAAAGAATTTGTGGAGAAGCTAATGAAGATTCTGGATATTGTGGAGAAGAGGGGAGTCCACGAAAGCGGCCGCATATTGGAACAGGAAAATAAGTTAGGGTGTTCTGCGTTCTATCTTGCGGTTCTATCAGGAGTTGTGAAGAACGCGGAGGTTATGGTTGAGAAGAACAATAAGCTGCCAACTATCCGGTCTAAGGATAAATCATCAGATGATATTGGGAAGCTCCCTATCAATCATGCAGCTCTGAGAGGGCGTAAGAAAATGGTTGCTTATCTCTTTCAGAAAACACCTTATGAGATGTTGCTGGAGGCGGAACGCACTGAGCTTCTTCAAGCTACCATTCGCTACGATATGTATGGTATGCAATTCAATACTCTACTCATCTCTCTCTCTCTCTCTCTTTCATCCCAAATTAATTAAAATCATCTAAAGTTGGGTTTAATTTGGTATAAAATCATATTTAATAGTAAAACTAAAAATCATATAAAGTTGGGACTGGTTTACCTTCTTGTGGACTTGTGGTCCTTTGTCCACACCGACCAGATTTAATCACCGCACACCACTCAATTCAAGTAATGATTGCGATTTCTCTTGTCATTAGAAAAAGGTGTAATTTAATGGATTAGATATAGGGACGAACACATTGTGCTTAGATGGCATGTAGTGACATCTCCCATATGGGAGGTCATGAGGTCAAGCTTCCGTAGAGGCGTTGTTGACTCTTTGTGCGAAAAAACGAATGCTCAGAAAAGAACTGAGAGCCAAACGCAGCCGTCCACGTGTTCATATTTAAACGATAACATCTTTGACATTGGTGCAACTAATAATAATGTCAGGTATAGTTAACATTGATGCTCAATATACATTATTATATTTGTTGCACTTCTAATACATTTTACTTCTACTTCTAATACATTTTACTTGCACTTAGGCGCACTATATGAAACTGTATTTACTTGCACTTCAAACTTTAATTATTAACGAAAATACCACCGCATTTTATTAAAAAAAAGTGTTTATGATTCATAATATTTGGACACATGAACGGCTGCGATTGGTTCTCAGTTCTCTCTTGGGCAGTTGGTTTTCACCTGATTTCTCTCTCTCTCTCTCTCTCCCTATATATATACTTATGCTTAAGTGAGTCCACCCTTCCGATGAGTCGTGCACAAATCTCGTGCATTAAAAACTAGAGTTCAATGGTCAGATCTGGTTTATTATTAACTGTGCAACTATGAAACTGCAATTGTACAATAGCACAGTTGATAATGGACTAGATCTGTCCACACAGACTCATAGGAAGGGGTGGACTCACTTGAACAGTGATATATATATATATATATATATATATATATATATATATATATATATCAGCTCAAATGCAATCGTGCCTTAACGTGTAATCGATGCGGCCGAACCATTAGGTATGTAAAAATGCACAAATCATGTTAGAAAACGCACAACAATAAAATGCACAAAATGCACCACACGTCCAAAAAAAATACATCATACATCCCCACACTTAATTGTGCGTTTTCGAACATTGTGTGACATTTATACATATCAAATGGTGCGATTGGTTGTAATGCGTACCTAATGGTGCATTTTTTGTTGTGCATTTTTTAACGCTATTAGTGCGTGTTTGCATACGTAATGGTGCGGTTGCATAACCGCACGTAAAGGTCTGCACTAGAACTTGGCCATATATATATATATATATATATATATATATATATATATATATATATATATATATATACTAGTATTTTATATGCGCGATGCGCAAAAAATATATGCCCAATATTAAAATTAAATATTAAAATCTTAGTTATATTAATTTTTTAAAAATAATAGTGTGTGTGTGTGTGTGTGTGTGTGTGTGTATATATATATATATATATATATATATATATATATATATATAATTGTATAATTCATATTAATATTATTGAGGTAAGAATTATAGAAATGATAATTTACTAAATATAACTATGGTAACATTTTAATTAAAACCTAAATGAATTCAAATTTACCATTGAAGGATGTAAGAAAAAATATTGTGTATGCATGTACATGGTAATAATAATGTGGAAAGATAACAGAAGTTATAACGGCAGGGATATTTTTGTCTAAAAAATTATCTAGTACAACTTTTATAGCACAAGGTACAAAAAAAATTAACGGAAAACATGGACATAAACCAGGGGTATAACCTGGATTGAAGCTTATTATGTTTTTAGATATATATAGAGAGAGAGAGAGAGAACTCCTCCCAATTCTCAACCAATCTCATCTACAGATCTAATTTTTTTTTTTTTAACCCGCACGGGCTTACCTCAATGGTTTAGTGGGCAGTATTTGGGGTAAGAGACTAAGGTTTGAACCTCGGCCACAGTGTTTGGAAATACATGAGAATGAAATGCATAAAAACTGTAAATGATTTTATAGATTAACTCTTTATTGTTAGTGTAGATACCGCATCAGATATTGTAGACAAGGATCCACAATTAGCCACTAAAGAATATGATACTCAAAGGAACCGAACATTCTTGCATCTGTTAGCTCGAAAGGCTCTAGCAGAAAGAAGGTGGCAAAGATTTCTGGGCTCAACTTGTGCTCGACTGTTCCCTGCACGTTGTAAGACCTATATATATAAATTCTCTCCTATAGGCTATAGCTTTAATGACAGATCATAGACACACAAAATTAAAATCCGAGTTAAAACTGAATAAACTACTTGTAATTAATTACAGTGTGGGATACCATTCAAGAAAAAGCATTAGCGAGGAAGTTACTTAAAAAGATCTGGGATAAGTATCTTGATGAATGTTTACCAGAGGAAACACTGGCGGCGAAAATAAGAAACACGGAGATACTTCACTATGCTGCGAAAGAAGGGAATGTTGAGTTTCTACTCATGATTCTTATCAGCAAACCGGATCTCTTGTGGGAGTTCAACAGTAAAGGCCAGAACATTTTCCATATCGCAGTATTACATCGACAGAGAGAAGTTTTTGATTTGATCTACAGATTTGGACCCTTTAAAGACTTGATCTCTGTCCAGCAAGATAATCAACAAAACAACATTCTACATTCAACTGCCAAATTTGGGACTAGCAAAGAGAGCACTGGTGATGACAATCCTCAGCAGCCAAGTGTGTGCTTTAAAGTGGGAAATGGTTCGGAGACAGATAACAAGGTGCCCTTTATTTTCATTACGAGTGACTTATTGACTTTAATTTCTTGGTTTGAGTGGATCAGATCAGCTATGGATAACATAGGCTGGTTTATTTCTTTATGATCATTTTCTGGCTAGGATCATAAGGTAGAGTTGACTGATTTACCTCTGATCCTTTGCCGACTAAGGTCATGACGAGATGGTTAGGTTAGTGGGTTAATATAGCATTATTCAAAGAATTTCTACATCCTAAAATTACTTCCTATATTCACCAGGTTGAGAAGGTTATACCAAAATCATTACTCAAGGTATCCGGAGCAGCTCTAAGGCTACAAAGAGAGCTCTTGTGGTTTATGGTGAGTAAACAACTTCAAAATTAATTAAAGGACAATTCTTTGCCCAGCGAAACTCCCTCGCCTCTCAGGCCCCCACACTCTGACCGACAAGGAGGTGGAGTGGTAAATTACTGTGACTCATAGGCTCATTAGGTGAGACATCTCACATTGAGTTAAACTCCCACACTGTGGCTGTCAGACTTGACGATCACGTGGTCTTACCTATAATCACGGTTAGAAATTATGGAATTTTCGACCACCTGAAAATGATCTTAAATCAAATCGAAAGTCTTGTTCCGACCACTTTTGGTATCTGGAAAAACCTTTGTTGCTATTTTCGACCATTTTTTGCTTTTGAGTTGATATAAGATCATTTTCAAGTGGTCGGAAATTCCATAATTTCCAGCACTGAATTTACCACTAAAGAACCAACCAAGTTGCGGTGCGGTTAAAGGGCAATATATTCTTGTGCAGCCTCATATATATGTGTGAATATTTAATCCTTTAGCTGTGTTTGATGATTGGATTGTCCAGGAGGTTGGGAATGTTGTTCCACCATCACAACACAAGATCCGGAACAAGGAGAACAAAACACCAAAGCAAATATTCGCAGAGGAGCACAGGGAACTATTGAAAGAGGGCGAGAAGTGGATGACAGACACCGCAACATCCTGCATGCTTGTCGCAACTTTGATCGCCACCATGGTTTTCGCCGCAGCCTTCACCGTGCCCGGCGGCAGTAACGGCGACACCGGCACTCCCGTTTTCATAAAGAGGAGCAGTTTTACAGTTTTCATGATTTCAGATGCGGTGGCAATGATTTGCTCAATCATCTCTATCATCATGTTCTTGTCCATACTCATTTCGCGCTTCAGACAAGACGATTTTCTTGCGTCGTTGCCTTTAAAGTTGTTGGTCGGACTCACAACACTCTTTGTCTCAATAGTTGGGATGTTGGTGGCCTTCGCCGTGGCCTTCTCTTTGATCTTTGACAAGGCTTGGCAGCCAAAGCTGATCGTGGCTTTCATTGTTGCTCCATTTGCTTTGTTTCTGTTGCTAAATTTCAACCTCTGGTTTGACACAATCCTAGCACTATTGCTTGTTGTTAAAATTAAAGTTGGCTCATTCAAGAAGCTTTACTTTGGATGAACCAACAAAAAAAGGAGTGTTTGGAGATTAGTTAGCATATTATTGTATTAAATACTTTGACCAGTTAGTTACTTTTATGTTTGTAAAAATATGTTTTGTTAATGTAATATTTTAAAATATTTTATTGTTTCTGAATTTTGGACTACATTAACTTAGCATTCGTTTGGAAAATTGATGTGAGCTTAGTTGTGCATGTTTTTTTTGTTAATTTGAATCTACTTATGGGCTTATGATCATTAAAGTGTCACGTTCAATGCATATTTCTTTGCTTTCTAATGAAGTTATGGTTTAATGCTTGATTTGAATGTTTTTACATTGTTTGTTAGTGTTTCGAAACCATTGTAGATCAATTGCAAAAGCCAGGAAAGTTCTAAGACAAGTTTGGAGCCAAAATGGACTGAAGAGTGCTGATACAGAGGATTCGATGCGTCGAGAAACAAACTCGACGCGTCGAAAATCAACTCGACGCGTCGAAAATCAACTCGACGTGTCAAAAACTTCCAAAAGCCTCGGAGTCAAGGACGTTAAAGACTCGACGCGTCGAATAATTTCAGTAGGCGTCGTTGGGCGCGCGGAGAACCAAGACTTGACGCGTCGAGTCCATTCTCGACGCGTCAAAAATCCGTGACATGCAATTTGGAAAGTTGCGTGCAGTGGAAGCTTCCTAATCTACTCCTACTTGGCCCCCGCTATAAAAACTTCATCTTCCCTCAACCCCATAGTATCAAGCAGCGTTTTTGGAGACAAAAAAGAGTGAGCTGAGAGACATAAAGAGCTACAAGTTACCTTGGAAGAAGGAGGAAAAGCTAGAAAGATTCGGGAGAATCTCTTTCCCTTTTCTTTTACTTTCTTTGTTTCTTGTAAACTCTTTTATATTATTACAATGAATGCTAATCTAGCCATGCCACGAGTGGCTAGAACATCTTACGAATTTTTGAGTGAAAGTGTTTATGAACCTATGTGCCCAGTTCTTTAATTCCTTAATGATATTGACATTTAGGTTTTATAGCTTGTGTTGTAATTGTATTCTATCTTGTTGATGCTAGTAATTAAAGGCCCAAATAACTCGTTTCAATGCTATCTTTATGTCTTAATGGGAGTTAGGGCATATTTTAGAGCACCCACAATTGCACCTAACTATTGCACATTGGGAGATGGCATGTTAGTTAAGGATTTATCTTAAATGCTTGAGTTGTTAGAGTGTTTATATCATAGGAATGAATATTCACTTGCCCTATTTTAGGTTGGAATTATGGGAGTAATTTCTTCCCTTGTATGCATTATATTCTCACACTTGTTTGAACCCGAATTAAATGTTGCACCTTAGATCGACACTAGGTGATTAAGCACTTAATCCCAGAAATCCCACTCTTTCTCTATTATTTTCATCAACCTGCTACCTTGTTCTTTTAATTAGTTTTACAATCAATCAATCACTCTTTTCGCTAGGATTAGCTTCTCGTGAATAGATTAGTAGCTAGTGCTTGATACGCCCCGCTTCTATATGTATCGATAACCCGATACTCAGGGTATTTATTTGTTTGTCAAATATACCGCAACCAAAAATGTTTTCCTGAAAATGATTTTCAGAAAATGATCCATTTTAAAAAAAATAATTTAATTTTCTAGTGTTTGGCTGGAGGTTAGAAAACTACACATTTTTCTGTTTGGTGGTGGTGTAGTGGTGTTGTGGTGGTGGTTGTGGTTGTGGTGTGGTAGTGATAGTGGTGGTGGTGGTAGTGGTGGTCGGAGGTGGTGTTCGTGGTGGTGTTGGTGATATGGTAGTGCAGTGGTACGGTGGTTGTGTGATGATGTTCGGGTGGTGGTGATGCTGGTATTAGTGCAGTGATGGTGGTGGTGGTGTCGTGGTGATGGTTGTGGTTGTGGTGTGGTAATGATGGTTGTGGTAGTGATGGTCGGTGGTAGTATTGTTGGTGATGGTGGTGGTGGCGATGATATGGTAGTGTAGTCAGGGCCATTGCACAGGGCCTCCAAAATTTGGGGGGCCCATCATGCATAATATGTATATATATTATACAGCACGCTGCGGTGCAGCCTGCTGTATAGTATATACACATATGTTTTTTTTTTTTTTTTTTTTTTTTTTTTTTTTTTTTTTTTTTTTTTTACAATTTGGCCCCCAAAATTTGGGGGCTTAATTATTAAATAATAATAATAATAATATACATATATTATATAACCTGCTGTATAGTATATTATTACAAAAAAACATATATTTATGAGATTATAATGCTAGAACAGTATTGCAGTAACCATACACTCACAAGAACGAAACATCATCATAATCTTTTATTACTCTGATATTTTCGTAATTCAATCTCTAATTTCTTTTTCCATTCTTTAATCTCTATTTTTCTAATCTCTTTTCCTAACCCCTAATCTCTAGGTCAATAGGGTTTTCCCTCAAGTTCTTCATCAGACATATGTAATTATTAATTATAATTTATTAACTTAATTGTACATATTATTTGATTTATTTTACAATTATTATTTATTGAAATGACTTATTGACTTAATAATTTTAAACATATAATAATATATTCAAGAGTTTGTTTCTTGATAAATTATTTATTGATAAAGATTCTAAAGAATTTTTTTTATTTATTTTGGAATTATGTTTTCTAGAAAATATTCATTGGGAAGCGTAAAGAAAAATTTGAGTAACTAACTAACTCAATCTCAAAAGGGAACTCTTGAAAATTTCATTACAAACAAAATCAAATAGATGGGCAAAAGGATCATGCCAATTGATGTTATCACATCTGTGCTTGTTTTTATGGTTATTTTGAATCATCACAGTAATTAAGCTCTCTAATTTTGTTTATTTAATACATGTTTTCCTTGCTATTATCATTTAAGTATGGTTCGCACTTGTTTTGAATATTTTACGGTGTTTGTTAGTGTTTTTGAATCATTTTAGGTCAAAGATATGAGCAAGGGGAGTTCAAGGATGAGTTTGGAGCGATTTTGGACAAATTCGGGGCCCAGAGGATTCGACGCGTCGAGCCTTTGGCTCGACGCGTCGAAAATTTCCAGTAGCATCAGAAAATTGAGCCAAAGAGGCTCGACGCGTCGAGAAAGTCGCGCAAGCAAATTGAAACGCAACAATTGCAAAAGAAGTTTGAGTGGTGATTAAGTCATTATTCTCCAAATCATAAGGGACAGCACTAAATTTCATATTGACTGGCACTGAATTCCAAGCAAAATTAAAGGGATTTGTTTCCTAACAATTAAAGGCGGCAATTTCTTTTAATTAATTATAGGAATTATAATTTGAGTCCAATTTTGTACAAGATTCCTATTTCATCTCAACTTTGTACCCACTATAAAATCCCTCCTTCCTCAACCCTAATAAAACACGGAGAGATTTTGAGAGTTCTTTGTAGACAAGAAAGAGAGAAATCGAGAGGCTCAAGTCGTCTTTGGAAGCAAGGAGGAAGCCAGGGAGATTTGGGAGAATCGCTTGGTTAATTCTTGTACTCTTCTGATAATTTCTAATCCTTTATTCATATTTGCTATGTATAATTTAGCCATGCTCGGCTAAATTCCTTAGGGATTTTTGGGTGAATTTGTTTATGAACCTATGTGCCTAGTTCGTTAATTTCTTAATATATTTATGTTTGGTTTTATGATTTGTGTTGCAATCTTGTTTTAATCTGTTGTTGTTGGTGGTTAAAGGCCGAAATTACTAGCTTCACAGCCATGTTTGTGTCACCAATGGGAATTGGGGCATAAATTAGGGCACACACGATTGCACCTAATGGTTGGTCCTTGGGAAAGGGGAACTTATTAGGGGAAGTTTATTCTAGATTATTGCTCATCGGGATATGGTAGTAATTAGGAATAATTGAATGCTGATCTTTGATCTTATTGGGTGTTTAAGCCATGGGAGTAGAAATTCACTAGGAATAGAGATTACGGGAGTAATTCGATTCCACTTTGCATTCCCATACAAATCTTAATTCCAAACCAAATATTACAAACGTTAATTGGCACTAGGTGATTAAACATTGTGATCCCAAGAATCCTATTTTGCTCTATTGTCTACAAAACCTTGCTACTTATTTTATTCTGCTTGTTATTTTATGCAATCAGTCAACCTTCAAGTTTTGTTCGGACTAGTTTCATATGAGTAACCTAGTAGCTAGTGATTAGTACACCACCTCTTTGTGGTTCGACAACCCGAATACTCCGGGTATTATTTGTTTGCCCCAAATTACAGCAATCACCAATGAAAATTTGTTTGATGCTAATCTTCATAAAAAAGATCAATGTGATTGTGAGACTGAAAAAAAAAAATAAAAAATTCTAAATGATAGTGTGCACAACAATGATAAATATCACTGTGACGATGAAAATGATAAGAATGTTGATAGTTGTTTAGATTATGGTGGTCACAATGATAAACCAAATTATTCATTTTTATTTGACATATATGATCCAAGCAATTGGGATGCCCTTAACTCTAGACTTATATATATTTTTGTGAAAAGGGGCCCAAATTTAGATGTCGCACAGGACCTCTATTTTTATTGGAACGGCCCTGAGTGTAGTGGAGGTGTCGTGGGGGTTATGTGATGGTGTTCGATCGGGTGGTGGTGATGCTGGTGTTAGTGTGGTGATGGTGGTGGTGTCGTGGTGGTGGTTGTGGTTGTGGTGGTAGTGATGGATGTCGGTAGTGGTGTTGGTGTTGGTGTTGATGTTGGTGGTACGGTGGTGATGGTGGTGATGGTGGTGCGATGGTGGTCGTGGAGGTGTCGTGGTGGTTGTGTGATGGTGGTCGGGTGGTGGTGATGCTGGTGTTAGTGCGGTGGTGGTGGTGGTGGTGTACATGGTAGTGGTGTGATTGTGGTTGTGGTAGTAATAATCTTAAAACTAACTTACAGAACAATGAGTGAAAAGAGAGACATGAAAATAAATTATTCGGAAAATGTCTCCCAATTAAATTAGACATTTTTTCCATTGATCAGAATGATGATTTTTTTTTTTTAACTTTATTTTCTTCCAATAGTTAAACAAAAATAAATAAATAAATAAATCAATCAAAAATCAAAAATTGACTTCCGGAAGGTTTCCAAACAGATCCTTAAAAAGGGATCTTAGAGCAATTTGAT